AAACTTAGCCCTGCTGTGTTTTTTTTTGAGATTATCCCCCCCCCCAGTCAATGACAAAGTGGAGTTTTTGGAGTAGAGTTGTGAAGTGGCATGCAGACTGTTGCTATGATACACAGAGATTAAAATGTGGCTTTTAAAATGAAAAACCTCCCAAAAGCAGTAGCTGAGTTAGATTCAGGGACACAGTAATTAAAATTGTCATTGTACCTTGTAGGACTGTGTGATGATGCTTTTCATTCTGAAAAGTCAAAATGGGATCTGAGACTCTTCCAGGGGTTTAAAGAAAACAAAGGTTGCTTTTAAAACTTAAATGTTGTTTCAGATCAGTCCCCTGCCATGCCACTGTCGTTTGCCACTTAGAAATCTGTGAACCATGGCAACTTTTTACGTTGCAGAGTTATCCTTCGAAGACTTCAGCAGCTGGGCTAGAAAGGCCCTTGTCTGAACGTGGTGCGGTGTCACGAGCAGCAGCGGAGCGTGATGGTGCGTAGCTGTCTCTGTACCTCCTGCTGCTAGCTACGGTTAGGGGTGTTGATGTGCTTTGTAACCTGTTACGCTAACAGCAGCAGACAATCGAAGACGTCTGAGGAGACCTAACAGCTGCCAGTTCGTGAAATAGAAGTGTAATATGGGAGCCTTCTTGAGGGTTTTTGTTTTTGTTGTTCTTCCATTAAGACTGGAATCAAGCTTACATGTAAACTATCAGTAATTTAAGTTTCCTTTTGTGTCATAAAATGTAAAACTGTCTAATTTGAAAAAATATGTAGGTTATGAAAAATAAAGATTTAGGCACTGTTGAATTCCTGATTTTTTTAATTAAACCTTTCTTCAGCAGTATTTTTGGTTACCTTTTGTCTTTTGCTCCCATTTTTGGAAATTGTTTATTTCTAGTTTTGGGGAAAAATCTTTGCTTTACTGTTCAGCACAGCTGTTGTAACCATCACCTAAGGCTATGTAGCAGCAGCAAGAACACCTGTAAGATAACTGAGGGCAGCAATGTCTATCTCTTAGGTACCTATGGCTGCTTAACTTTCTTTAAAAATAAACACAAAAAGCTGATGTGATGTTTTGTTTACCAGAGGTTATCTTCATTAGTGGTTTCCTGAAATTATTAGATAAGGCCTTGACTTGGTCTGAAGTGTGGATTTTAAAGTTTTGGTTAACACTCTGCTTGCATGGCTCTTGAATTCGGAGATGTCCTGGGATTAATTTTGACTTTGACTGGTTTTGGAGGTTGTCCTGGCTGTGCCTCTAGGAAAGAAGAGCTGCTGGGCTATCCTACCTCTAAGTAAAAGAGCGAACTTGGAAATACTCGAAACCCTTTTTTTAGGTTTGTTCTCATTCAGCTATATCTAATCAATTATAACAATGAGCATAAGCATGGAAATATTAACAATTACTGTGTTTTATAAGTATCTTGGGAAGTATTGCAGTATTATTCTTCAGGCTGGATGTTCTGTAGGTTTCTGGACAGGTTAGGCTGCTTGCTGCTTTATTTCTCACCTCCTGTCTGCTCAACAGCATAGGGCAACACAGCAATATCAGTGTTCACCAGGCACTGCAGGTTTCTCTGTTGGAAAAGCTTGGTGTGTCAGTTAAACGTTAAGCTGTGGTGGTGATGTGGACTACAAATAGTTGAAGGCGACCAGTTTTCACTTCAGCCTGGAGTATCCTGTTCTGCCCTTGGAACTTAGTTTTCTATTACTTCAACATATAGAAATACATGGAAATCTGTCAGCAATGTTGCCATAATCGTAGTGCGGGTCTCCAGGACCGCCCCAGCTTTGGCAGAAATCAGGGATTGATTTGTTCGTGCAGCAAGATTCGGCAGTGTCCCCTTAGTGCTAGTTTTCCCCAGTGCGAGGTGATGTTGGATGATGGCTGCACCAAGGTTCCTGTTGAACAAATTGTTTCGTTTCTGCTTGGGCATGAGGAGAAAGTGAATATGGAAGATGACATGCGATTGAGTATCCAGAAGTTGCCTATTGTCACAGAAACTGTGACTCAGTGCCTTTTGATACTAAGGCTTCTTTAGAAAAATGATTTTATGAAGATTTCAGTTTTCTGATATGCTTTTACTTCACAAGCCTCTGGAAGTTTTAAGACCTGCTATTCTGTGGATTATCACGGCCAGTGCAACTTTTCAAGTCAGGGAAGTGACTGAAATTCAAGTTCTGCTGGTTTATAGGTGTAAGTAACGTTACCCACTTCGTCTGCGCTTGTGAGAGCAAAAGCGGTGT